AACAGTATATGCTGTTCGATAAATGATGAATAAATGAATGAGTCAATGAATGAGCAAACAGGTGAATGAATGCCTCACTAGTGATGAGTAAGTAGTCTCATTCTTAATTATGAAAGATAATATCTTGATATTGCTAAAGAATATAGAACCACATAATGTGGTTTAGCTAGAAGGGACCGTAAAGATATCTAGTGTCACAGAGCTCCACAGTGTCAGAGCTGGGACTAGAATTTATGGACTCTTGGTTCTCAGTGTAATATTCCTTCTAATATATCATCAAATAAAGCATCTTTCTAATGGTTTCTAACCATTAGAAACAATTAGCACATATTCTCATATCCTGAATATAGCACTCTTGTTTAGTATTATAATTGGAGACCTTAAGGATTAATCAACCTAGCCCCTCATTTTGCAGAGGAGAAATCCATGGTACAAAATGTTAAATGACTTGTCCAAGTTAACCAATTAGAGAATCAACAAACTCAGGTCTCCAGATGCCCAAATCCAGAGCACATTACATGTCATGCTGAAACACATTAATGTACTTAAAGCTTACTTGCTTTACATACTTTGATAACATATCCTCCAAATGTGGGCAACAGGAAATGTTTATTTATATACAAGTACATGGGAAAGCAATTTCCATTCATCTTTTTAAAAAACTCTGTTACAAATAAAGTTATCGATACATTCATCCTTTGCACACAAAATACATTCTTTTTACTTTGACTCTCAGTATGAGTTATTTCTTAATAATAAACAAGCTACAATGAACAGTCAGGTGGTTTTTCTACTTGACAATTTTTTTTCAAGAAGGAAAATCCAAACTTTAAAATACAGTCAATATATAAAGAAAATTGTATATTAAAAATGCTCATTCATTGACTCCTAGAAGATTGAATGAGTACTCCTCTCAAGCATGATTCGTAGCTGTCCTTTAAAAACAATGCAGAGGACTTTAGAAATTCTGTACATGATAATTCAATTTCTGTAAGACCGAAGCAGTCTTCATGAAATTGATTATCATATCTAAATGATAGGTTCATAGAAAAATGCTTATGGACATATTGGGGAGTTAGCTGTTATTTAGAGGTCTCCTAATTGACCAATTGATCTAATATTATAAGTTGCACTCCTCTAAGCAGAAATTTAAGAAGTTCTGCTTCAACTAACACAAATGACTTGATTTGCTAGACTAATTGCTTTTAAGAAAAATGCAAAAACATATGCCCACACACAAAACTTGTACACAAATGTTCATAGCAGCATTATTTATAATAGCCAAAAATGGGAACAAAATATCCATTAACTGATGAATGGGCAAATAAAATGTGGTATATACACATAATGGAATATTATTAGCCATAAAAAGAATGTATTGATTCATGCTACAACATGATATATTAAACTTGAAAACATTATGCTAAGTGAAAGTCAGACACAAAAGACCACATATAGTTTAATTCTATTTATATGAAATGTCCAGGGTAGGCAAATTTGTAGAGACAGAAAGTAAATTAGTGCTTGTCAGATGCTGGGGGAGAAGGGAAGGGAGCGACAGCTCATGAGTACGGAATTTCTTTTGGGGATGATAGTTCTGGAGTTAGACAGTTAAAACTGTGAAAATACTAAAAAACACTGAACTATACACTTTCAAGGACAGAATTGTATGGTTTTAGGTACTTTCACTGTAGGCTTCTTTACTTGTCACTGTATACACCATTATAAGGGTCAGCTAAGATTTATATATACTGCGAAAATAGAAGTAACTAAGAGAACTTCATCAATGGGGAAGTGAAACCAAACTGACAACAAGCTTAAATACATTGTCTGCCAAAGGCAGTTGATTCGTCAATGAAGAAATGAAACCAAACAAACAAAAAAACCAAACTGTCAATCCACTATTTATCTTTTTTACAGTAGTTGATTTGTCAATGAGAAATGAAACCAAACAAACAAAAACCCAACAAAAACACTGTTAATCAGTTATTTTATCTTTTTATAGCCAAATTCCCTTATGGACAATTAATTATACAGCAAAAATGCTTGTGGCAAAGTTTTCTACCCCAAAGATGCGATGGTGAATACTGGACACAGATTTGTATGGTGTTTGAATTATATCTCAATTTTTAAAAGAGAGATGCAACTTTATTTAAAATATTTTGTTTAGATTCCTGTTCCCTATGCCTCTTTTTAAATATTTATTGAAGTTTTCATACAATTGCCTTTCTATAGAATGTTTTCAGCTAATTGCACTAAAGTCATTATGGGCTTATATTCCTAACAAGATTTTTATTAAGGAAAAAACAATCGCATAAGACACGGTGCAGTGTTTTGTTAATATCTTCATATTAACATTTAAAATCAAGTATTATTTGCATTGAAGCTGATGATTAGATTTTATATACTTGTGTATTCAGATGTTACTGAGAGCCTATGCTTAAAACCAACAGCCAAATATTAAGAATTGAGTTCATAAGACTTGATGATTAACATGTTTGTTAAAACTATGTGTATGTTAAAGATCCATGTTTTAATGGGAAGAAATAGGAAATGAGGAGAAATCTGGGATTCTCAAAGTCTTCATAAAACAGCTTTTCAAAGTATTTTTTCTAGCTGCTGAGAAGACCTTCAGGATGATATATTTTACATTTTATTTCATCCCTATATTAAAAGTCATGCATTAAAGTATATGCAACAATATATATGGGCACACTTTTTCCCTTTAGATTATCAAAAATCTCTTAACCCATTATTGTCTGAAATTTTAAGATTTTTTTTTTGCTGAGAACAATTTTACTCACATACATTTATGTATGTATATTAACATAAATATATTTATGTAGCTCCCTTACATATCATCGAAGGAGCTCCAACCAACTGGTATGTCTAGAGGACACTTCAGTGAGCAGAAATTAGAAGTGAGCATTCCAGTTATTTGAAATTTTCTATTACAGGGACGTGAAAGCTTCAACATACCTTAAAAAGATAAGACAATTAAAAAAAATTTTTTTTTAATTTAAATCAACTGACATTCATTGTCAAATAGCCTACAAGAAAGTTCCACTAACATCCTGCAATTGTATAGAACAAGAAAATATTTATTCCTAATGGTTAAATTGCAGAAAGCAATGTTTAGCAGCTGTTTTTCAGAGGGTTTATCAAGTCTTGCTATTGTTATTTAATTCAGGCATAATTGTGTAACCTTAAACAAAAGCTATGCACCATTCAACCAACTACTGACATCATAACAGACCAGATTATCTTTTGTTATTCTATACATGAATTTTTGCTTTATTAGGCATTTCATAACCCAATTTTTATTTCAGAATTTAGTGCACATGTAGGAAGGGAAAGAAACCCTGCTAAATTTTGAGGTTGGTAATTATGTCTATTAAATAATGTCATTTTTGAAATTAAATTCTAAAAGCAGATTATAAAACTAGAATTATGACTCCATTTTTTACCAAGAGGAAGAAAAAAGAGCCACACAACCAGAATAATTTTTCAAAAGCACACTTTGTTATCAATTATGTTGTATAAAGGAGAAAAGTACATGATAATTGAAGAGTTAACCAACAGTAGGATTATTACCTAAATCTCATACCAATAAGAAGCTAAGAGTTTATAAATACCCATCCTGAAATTCCCCAAGGAAATAATTATTATCACCTTAATTAGCTTTTCTGTCATTTTTTTTTTTTAATGAGGCAAGAGGGCAATAATAAATGGCAAATATGGCTCCTTAAAAGAAGATAGGATCAACCCATTTTTCTTTCCATGGAGAATAGGATTAAGAAGAGGTTCAAATTGCACTATGAGGTATTTCAGTAATAAGGTTAAGTTTCCTGATAATGAGGAGTTTACAACCCTGGAATTGCCTGTTTTGGGGGTAGAGAGAGCAAGGGAGAGAGACAGACAGTCAGAGACAGAACAAGCGAGAGAGAATGCCTTTCCTGAAGTATGTAAAGCAATGAAGTCTCTTGGGTAACATTAATGCCCAAAGACAGACTGATGGATCATATAAGTGACTTCCTTTTAAGGCCCATTTAGAAATGGAGCTCTTTTCTTTGAAGTCAAGAGGTTTTCTGTTTTGCCTTAAGAATCTATCCTTGCATAAGACTATCCAAAGTCTATTTTTAATCAAGGAGGAAAGAACTAATATTTGAGTACTTATTGTTTACTAAGAACTGTACTTTCAATTTATCTTGTCTAACTTTCATAATAATCCCGAGAGGTATAAGTCTATCTCATAGATGAGGAAACTGATGCTCAAGAGATTGTGCTTTGCATAAAGTTATAGCTAATTAATTCATGGCCATACTAGGATTCCTCACACTTAGCCTAGTATTCTTCTTTCTATACACTTCGCTACATCTCTCTTATGTGTCAGAATCACAACCCACCAAGGTTTCCATCAGGAACTAGAACACATCTCCAAAAAATCTGCTTTAACTCAGTGGCAAAGTAAAAATTTGACTCATGCACCTCAGTCAGTCAATTAAGGAAGAGGTGGCTAGCTCTCATGCTCTGACCTCTTAGCCAAAGGAGTCAAAGGAAGTCTTACCCAAACTCAAGTGTTTCTCACTATACTGATGCAAGACCAATGAATCTATGAGCCTAGCAAGGATAACTTATTTTGCAGGTGGAATCATTTGATCGTGGGATTAGCAAATGTTCTGATTTTCAAAGACCTGTGTTTTGTTACTTTCTATATGAAGCAATTTGGCCTCGGTTCTGTTAAAATCATTTTCAGATCATGTTTTTTTCAAGAGAATCAAACCAACTAACCAAATGTTATTTGAGATTTTTCCAAAACGCATCTTGGGTCTGCCTTATGCCAGTGATCCACCAGCTGATCTCTGATGGAAGCTGCAAAACTTCAAGTTGGTATGTTTATGACATCTTTAACTGAAGATTCTGTTTTACTAAAAAGACCTCTCCTAAAATCCTGAAGAGACACCAATTATTCACTAAACTGAGCCTGACCCATGTTTGGCAAATTACAAATACACAATTTTCATGATTTCACGTGACTTCTACTAAAACAATACATTTAAAAGTTTTTTAACTCAGGAATGAGTTTGTAATTTCAACAAGACATCAATGAATGAACTGACAAAGCAATCCCAGCTTGGGGCAAGTAGTCTTTTGGCCTAACAACATATAACCAAACTCCTTCTTGGAAGATAGTATACACTTTTTGTAGAAGAGCAGACTTTTAAAAAAAAAAAATCATTATCTCCAGGTCAACAAATATTTAATTAAACATGTTATAAAGGCAACGTACTGCAACATAGAATTTTAAGTTAGTAGATCGTCTGGTCCAACCCCCAACCAATGCTGGGATCCTCTCCACCATCATCTTTGCTGAGTTTTTAATCTAGCCTTTCCTTGACAAAGACTATGATCTGAAGCAGCTCCTTTCATAGTAAAACCATCTTTTTGAGGATGTTCTCTCTGATGAATCTGTGGTCCTATTACCACTGTTTAGTGGGCTTCATTCCATCCTTTTGAACCACAGAATATTACTCTAATGTACTAATTGTATTCCTCCCTTTCCCAATCTATATCTCCCCAAATCCTTCAAATAGTCTTCAAATGTCTTAAATTTTAAATTCTTTCGTCATCTTTATTATGCCTCCATTTGTTTTTAATTCCAAAGTACGGCTTCTAAGAATGATTGTAACATTCCAATATCATGGACTTAGGAAAGGAGATGAAGTGTCATCTCCTTTGGTCTAACATTACTACATTAATTAGTTGTTTGAAGGGATAAGTTCTTAATTCAGTATGCTTTCTACCCAGTGTGAAGAATGTAAGGGAAAGCAGTTTTCCTTTCAAACAAAAATAAGCTTATGTGACAGAAGTGAAATCAAAAAAGAAGGATGTAATATCCCAAAATCAGTGTTCAACTATACCACTTATGGAAGAAGGATGTAATATGATTTTTCACTGCTTTTGATTTTCTATTTAAGTCCTAAAAGTATTATTATAGTTGCATTAAAACACCTCTGTCAGGGCCATGGTTGAGAGAAGTAACTAGTTGCAGTAAAAAAAAAAAAAATCTAGAAAAAAGCAAGGGCAAACCCTAGAGGGGTTCTTCCAGAGACTAATAGGGCAGTGGTCTTAAAGTACTAATGAACATGAAATACAGAGAGTTCTGCAGAATTAATAGAAAATGCCTACCTTTATGTAGGGGGGAAAAATGAAAGTTTTTTCCTGAATATAATGAGATGATACCTTATTCATGTAGCTTGGCTTTTAAAATGGATATTTTCATTTTAGTCAGAAGATCAACTCAAAATCACTTACAACTAGTATTTATTCAGAATGATTCATTAACTGAAATTTGATGCTGAATCTGGAAGAATTATGAAATAGCTAAAAGGAGGCAAATCATTGATCTAACAAGGGAAGTCACCAGTGGCCTCCTAAGGCATTCATTCATGAACAGAAGAAAGAAGAATGCAGTCTTTAACTTCTGCCTCCTCCCTCCCAAGTCTAAATTCTTAAAAATAATCCTAATCCAGACATTTTATTTTGGCCTGTGGTTTTTACCTTTCTCATCAAACTCTAAATCAGAAATTGACACAGTATCAAAAAATTCTATTTTACTTTCGTTTTTAGTTATTGTCTTGCCGCTTCACTCAGAAAGAGATGTGAACATGAAATGACTAAAAGACTGGAAAATAAGGGCCAGGAAAAGCTAATGACCTAATTTAAGTAATCCACAGAAAGGATAATTGGTTCTGTATAATCAAAATTAAATGTTAACATAATTCAACAGGTCTAATAAAAGCATATAAAGGAATAAAAAGCCTTGCATAGGTATAGGAGAAAGCACAAAGTCCTTTGAGAATATAGTCTACACAAAGCCATAATAAAACATTAATATCAGCAAGCTATATGATTTCACACATTCTTCTAAAATTGACCTTATGACATGAATATGATGTTTTTTCACTGGAATGAAAAAAAGTTTTACCATATATTTACTAACTTTATTAAAAGAAGAAAAAGATCACACCCAAAAATGGAAGCAGAGATTGACTCCGGTAGTTTTATGAGTCAGATCAAGACAAACTATGAGAAAGCAACTTCTTTTCATCCACCATTAAATGAGAATTCATTTTAAGAAGATTCATTTTAGCAAATATTGTAGCAAACCAATACGTTTAGGTCTTGGCATGGTTTAAGATGACCACATTTAATTAGTGTCCTTTCTCAAGTTCTGTTTGAGAAATTTCTGTTTAACCAAAAAATTTCATCTTGGCACTGTCATTTATTCAACTAATACTCATTAAGCACCTACAATATTGCCAGGGATCATTCTCAAACTTGAAATACATCAATGAACAAGTGTCCATAAGGCCTAATCTGGAATTCACACAACTAAGGGGCAAAAAAAAAAAAAAAAGAAAGCCCTACATTCTCATGTGTCCCTGCTGATGGGCCATGAATGGGTAACAGTAAATTATAGAAAAGCTGGGAAGAGTAACAGGGAAGAAAGGGGCCAAGAGCAGAGCTTTCTAATTCCCTTCTAAGTGCAGCCAAGGGTAGCGAGAGGAAGCTGAACCCTAAGGAATACTAATTTCAGAATGCAAGCGTGGCTCTAGAAGCTTCTGTTTCACAACTAAATCTGTCCACTCTAACAAATTCCTGTCCTCTGAGTTCACAAAGCAAATTTATTTTCAACATACTTGCTGCTATGAGACAAAGTTGGGTCATGATGTATGGGGTAACTGGACTTTTGCCCTAACTAAAAGATAATAAATCTGAACTTAGGGACATTTCCTCACAGTTTAAAAAGAGATGACCTTCTGCCCACCTCGATCAATGTGTTTTCTGAACACCTTTAGTTGCTGGCTTAGTGGGAAGATGGGGAGGAAAAGGCAACAGTTATAAATTATTTTGCTTGGTGTTTATTAAAATGATATTTCTTTCCTGTAGAGATAGATTATAAAATAAAAGCAATTCAAACTTCTGGGATCTCTCTTACCCATAGGATCAGGACAAACACAGTGAGGCCAACCCAAAATACTAATCCCTTAAACAATATGTATAGTCCCCATGTGTAAGAGATGGATCACTCTGATACCTACTAGAGAAATGCTAGAAATGCTTTATCAATATTGTATCTCTACATGACTCATTTCTTTAAAATTAAATTGCTTTCAAACATCAACATATCCGGACTGAGACTGCCACCCTCTAAAGAAACAGTGGAATTACACATCATATTCTTATTCCATTACTCATCCCTCAGTTATGCTAAGTAGCAAGCTACATAAACATCTGACAGCATCAACATCGTACAGGTTTAAATATTTTCCCAATTTGCATTTATATCAGTGAACAAATTGGAAGGTATCGAAGTATGGCACTGAAGAAATAGTCATACATATTCAGCAGCACGTCTTCTATTTTGAGTCCTGTTTCAAAATTGGCTAAGTAAAGGCATATACACCTCCATCTGAGTTGGAGATTTGCAGTAACACATGCATATAAAGAAAGCAGGAAATGGGGAAGAGGGAGGGAAGGTGTAAGGGAGGGAGGAAGGAAGAAAAGAAATGGGAGACCAGGAAAGAAAGGAAAAGAAGAAAGAAATGGAGAAGAATGTATGGTCTGAGAGTAACGTTACCACAAGAAGGAGGTGAGAAATGACAACTCAGTCTGCTTCCACAAGCAGAAATTTTCTAAGGTTATCATTGAAGGTACAAAAATGGTTCATGAGAGTTTTCATCTGTTGCTATTCTCGCTTATATTAAAAAACGTTTACAAAATCCTAAGCCTTGATCTGTCCAAGATGGATAGTACCAGAAATAAAAGATGTGACCTGCTATCAAGGACCGTGCTCTGCTTGGAACTTTGCACTGCAGTCCATTAATCCACAGTATTTTGGTCAGTTCTGGTCTGTTTTCTCATACTACTCATCATGTCGTAGAGCTAATCTTTTATATTAGAATATTATCAAGAATTCTTTTTTTTTTTATTTTTTCAAACTTTTTCATTTGCTTAAAGGGCAGGAAAGATGGAGAACAGAATAAGAAAATGGTAAGATTTACAGTGGAACATGAAAGGAAAGTTTTCTCTTTCCCAACAAATCCACCCTAGAAAAAGTAGCAATGAGACTTTAAGAGTGCTGATTCATGGACTTGCCTTATTATTATTTATTTCTATGAAATACATTTAAGGACATAAATGTACTAAAACGTTTGGTCTGTGGAATAGCAGGATCATTAGCACCAAAAGGAGTCATGTAGCTTGTATATGCTATTAAAACAAAAATTGTTAACTGTTGGTCATGGGTAAAGGTTTCATTTCATTTTTACATCTAAAGTTCTTAAAAGTGCCTGTGGACAAGAGAAATAACACTTTTCAAAATCTCCATGGGGTCATCAACACACACCACAGAGACAGTACTTGGCCTTCTCAGTTTTGGTTTATCTGGTGGACATGAAAACCAGGGCCCCCAGAAGCCCTAAAGAATAGCCCCCGCATGCACCCACTGATGAGCAGGAGGCATCCCCCTGACTGTGTTCAGGAATGCGCTTTTACTTGCTTTTTTAAAAAAACAAAAGCAACATGCTCTGCAGGTCATGGAGCGCCTAGTGCAATTTTCTCCTTGCTCTGACTCCATACTGCAAAAGAGTGAAACCACTATATGTTCTGCTTATGCTGGCCTGTGGACAAGTCCCTTGGCCTGCCATGCTTTGTAAACTCGGGAGCCACAGGAGTCAGAAGGTCCAAGAGCAGGAACCACCTTCATTGCCAGATCGCCCCAGCAACTTGTGGCCCACTGGGGCGGCTGCTGATTTCTTTCGCTTCTCCTTGCCTCAGCCTTTAGTTGAAATTACAGCAAGTCAAATAGCTGATGCTTTTCCCTTCTCCAGGTAAGGGTGATGATACATTGTTCACAAGTGTGTTCTGCCTGGCTTCACTGATCAGGCGGCAAGCTAAATCAAGGAAGAGTTTCTCCACGTTATCAGATTCCTTGGCTGAGGTCTCCAGATAATACATGTCCTGAGCTTCTGAGAATTCTTCAGCTCTCTGCTGGGAGACTTCTCTCCTTTCAGCCAGATCAATCTTGTTGCCTAAAACAGTGGTAAAATCACAGAACGAATCATCATTTGACTTTAAGCAGTCTCAGAAACATAAAAATTCATTTCCATAATCTGAAGTCAAACCAGATAGACGGGCAAGTAAAGCAAAGCAAATGTGTGATTATTGGGATGTTTATTTTAAAATATCAGTGCCATCTGTAATGGCAAATAACTGGAAACAGTCCAAATGTTCATCAATTGGGCACTGGCTGAATACACTATGGTACACCCATAGTTACTTGGAATTATTTGCCACTATGAAAAGCAATAAGGTATCTCTCTATATGCTGCCATGGTATGAGCCACTAGGATATATATTGTTAAGTAAATAAAGCAAAGAAGAAGAAAGTGTTTATAATATACAACTAAGAAAAAAGGTGGAAAAAAAATACATAGACACAGTTTATTTCCTTGTATTTTAATGGGAGAATAAACCAAAATCTTAATTTTAAAGATAATGGTTCCCCATGAAAGGAACAATATTGAGGAATAGGAAGGGATAGAAACTAGACCTTTCTAAATGTATCTTATTTTATAGATTTAAGCATCTTATAGATGTTTTACATTATACAATTAATTATAATTATGTAATCAATATGTAATTAAATTTAAAAACCAATTCCTAAAATTGAAAGCAAAAAGAAACAAATGAACCTGTTTATCATGAAGTGGCATAACCCCACAGAGAAAAACTATTTCAGGTGAGTTGAAATACAATAATTTAACCATGCATCCCAGTGGTATATATCCTAATAGCAAAGAGAACCGAAGAAAAAATTAGGAACTGTTAGAGTAATCATCTCCTCAGTGGTAATGTCATCCTTGTTATTCTGAGACCGCTCTGCATGTTTTAGAGGATAAAGCAAATGAGTAATTATGTAGGTGTCAATGGGACAGGGGCTTTTGGCATGGGAAAAAGGAAATACAAATATAAGATTAATGAGGTTAAGTAATATTTCTGAAGTCCTGAATTACAGATGGAAGTATCAGTATAGTAAATAATTCACAGTGTATTTTTTTATCTTTTAAAATTGTTTCTACCTCTTTGCTCCTGGAAACCTGACAAACGTGATATGTCAACTGTGTTACTTGGCAACATTTTTCTATGGTAATAGTAACCCCTGATTGATAAATTCCATCTAGCGTGGGAATTCTATGTATACATTATAAATACCTGATGGAAAGCCATACCTTTGGGCTTCCTGAGTGTAGTGATTCTTCATTTGAAGAGACCTTCAAAGTTAGGCCTGTGGGGTTCTTATAAGAAAGACTGGCTCCTATGAGGCATCAAGGCTTGTAGGCCAGGACAATTCATGCACTTGCCTTAAGTGAGGCTTCTACCTCAAACATGAACGGTCCCAGGAGGCTCTGGACCACCATAGGGACTGCTATGAGAACTACTTCCACTGAAGAGGAATGCCAGATGCTGACCTGCTGTAAAGCCACATTTCCTGCCCTGTCCTGTACCCTTCTAAGCAAATATGATGCTAAGCATGGCCTATGGTAGTCTTGTGAATCAAAATGTTTAGTAGAGCCTAATAGGACAAGTCTTTGTGGACACTACAGAATTCATCACACACACGCACACACACATGCACACACACACTAACTCTGTCCACTGAAAAGCCCAAACACAATGACCAAACCACTAGTAAGGAGGATTACTATCACTTTGGTTGTGGCATGTAAATACAACTTCCCATTAAAAAACAAAACAAACGAACAGACAAAAAACAGTGCTTGGTGGGATTGCAAATTGGTGCAGCCACTATGGAAAATAGTATGGAGGTTGCTAAAAAAATTAAAAATAGAATACCACATGACCCAGCAATCCCACTTCTGGATATTTATCTCAAGAAATCCAAAACACTAATTTGAAAAGATATACGTTCACTGTAGCATTATTTATAATAGCCAAGATATGAAAGCAGCCTAAGTGTCCATTGATAGATGATTACATAAAGAAGATGTGGTACATATATACAATGGAATATTAAACGGCCTTAAAAAAATAAAATCTTGAGCTATCAGTCAGATAGGCCCAGAGACGCTTCTGGAAGTAACATCATGATGGCTGCCCAAGGAGAACCCCAGTCAGTTCAAACTTGTACTGGTTGGTGATGGTGGGACTGGAAAAACAACATTTATGAAACGTCATCTGACTGGTGAATTTGAGAAGTACGTAGCTTCCTTGGGCGTCGAGGTCTATCCCCTTGTGTTCCACACCAACAGAGGACCTATCAAATTCAATGTGTGGGACACAGCTGGTCAGAAGAAGTTTGGTGGCCTGAGAGATGGCTATTACATCCAAGCCCAGTGTGCATTTATAATGTTTGATGTAATTTCAAGAGTTACTTATAAGAATGTGCTTACTGGCATAGAGATCTGGTACGAGTATGTGAAAACATCCCCATCGTGTTGTGTGGCAACAAAGTGAATATTAAGGACAGGAAAGTTAAGGCAAGATCAATTGTCTTCCACCGAAAGAAGAATCTTCAGTACTACGACACTTCTGCCAAAAGCAACTACAACTTTGAAAAGCCCTTCCTCTGGCTTGCTAGAAAACTAACTGGAGACCCTAACTTGGAGTTTGTTGCCATGCCTGCTCTCGCCTCACCTGAGGTTGTCATGGACCCAGCTTTGGCAGCACAATATAAGCACAATCTAGAGGTTGCTCAGACAACTGCTCTGCCAGATGAGGATGACGACCTGTGAGAAAGCGAAGCTGGAGCTGCAGAAGTCTAGTTTTATAGGCAGCTGTTCTGTGATGTCAGTGGTGCAGCGTGTTTGCCACTCTGTTATGTAGCTAAGCAGAACGTGTGCTTAATCTGGGATGCTGAAGCATGTGAAGGGGCTTCGAAGTGAATGTGGCAGTTAAAAAAAAACCTTCATTTTTTGGACCTGCCTATTTAGCTGTTTTGGAACGCAGCTGTTTCTTTATTGAGTTTCAAACATAAGACTGCTACGGTCACATCACAATGCTCAGCGGTGAAGCCTTGTTTATTACTGTCATTCCCATTCCTTTCCATTTAGAATCAGAATAAAGTTGTATTTCAAATATCTAAAAAAATAAAACATAAAAAATAAAGTCTTACCATTTGTGATGACATGGATGGAACTAGAGGGTATTATGCTAAGTGAAATATTCAGAGAAAGACAAATACCATGATTTCATTTATATGTGGAATCTAAACCAACAAACGAACAAACAAAACAGAAACAAACTCATCGATACAGAGAACAAGCTGATGGTTGCCATGTGGGAAAAGGGTGGGAGTGTTTGGTGAAAAAGGTGATGAGATTAAGAAGTACAAATTGGCAATTACAAAGTAGCCATGGGTATGTAAAGTACAGCATAAGGAATATTGTAATAACTATGTATGGTGCCAGGTGGGTACTAGACTTAGTAACTATATAAATGTCTAACCGTTATACTGTACACCTGAAATTAATATAATATTGAATGTCAACTATAATTGAAGAATAAAAAAAAACTTTTTTAAGTAAAAAATAATTTTCAGAATACTGAAAGCATACTAAATTGAGAATTTTTACAAAGGAAACTTAAAGGAAACACTGCCTTGAATAACGTAAGTAACAAATGTTGGTTTGAGTTAAAAAAAGAAAAAGAAAAGCAATGCTTCTTGAAGAAATGGTTAATTCCAGGTCTGGGATGGGAAATGCACAAGATGTGCCTAGAACACTTGTCGTACCAGAAAACAAGAAAATTATCAGATTCCTGGGGTCATGTCAAAGGGACTCAGGAGCCTACCATCAAAGTTGGAAGAGTTGGAGCACTGACAATCATAGCGAGGGAATAGAATACATCAAAGATACTTAAATCTATAATGACATTCAAAATATAAAAAAACTTCGATAGTTTGGGAAATACTAGAACACCAACTCATTACCTTGAAAAATAGTAAATAAAAAAAGAAAAAATCAAGCATTTTTCTTGACTGTCCTGTAAGAACCTCAGAGTATCAACTATGAAGTATTCTTGCTAAAAAGAAAACAAACAAACACACAAACAAAAAACCTGAATCTGATCAGGCTTCTAAATTTTCCTACAAATCTGCAGTAAATTCAGGTGATGGAGGAGTATGTCAAATGACACCCACAGGAATGAAATAACAAAATTCAGACTTAAAAACTCTACAGGAAAAACAAACGCTTTAACGTATAAGTTTCAAGAGAGGAAAAAATGGAGGGATAACCTACAAATAAAAGGAGAATTAAAAAACATTAAAAAAATTATATAAATGGACCTTACTTGAATCTTGATTTGAATAAAATTTTAAAATTTTTTTAGTCAACCAAGGAAATTTGAACAATGTCTAAATTTTTGAAGCTATTAAAGAATTTTTAATATTTTTAGGTGTGAAATAACATTATGGTTAGGTTCTCTTTTTAAAAAAAAAATCTTGTCTTTTAGAGATATATACTGAAATTTGAAAGATGAATTAATGCAACAATCGGATTTGCTTCAAAATAATCTGAAGGGGAAGGCAGACAGAATAGATGGCAACAGTAAAATAAGATTGGCCATGAGTAGATAATTGTCAAAGCTGAGAGATGTGTTCATTATAGTGTTTTCTCTACTTCTGCTTATGTTTAAAATTTTCCATAATAAAAAGTTTTTTTAAAAAAAGCTAGTGCCTCTTTCATACTGAACTGACTAATTATCTCCCCTCAAATCTTCATTTAACTTCCTTAGGTAAATTCCCAAGTAGTAATGCTTTGACTCAAGTTCTCAGGGGCTTTCTGTGGAACAAAAAGAAAGCCAAGTCCAAAGCTGAGAACTTTCAGGTGCTTCATGGCAAAGGTTTTCAGTATGCAAGAGGGTTTTCAGGACTGGGCAGGAAGCGATAGCTTATAGAGAGGCATATATAGAGATACTTAACCCAGCAGCCTGAAAGAAAAGTCCAGCAATTTGTTATAAAGCAGCATACTAAGTTGGACAAATGCAGAGTTTGGAGTAGATCTTACATGCTGTGTGACCTTGGGCAAAAAACTTCACCTCTCTGAGGCTTGGTTTCCTCATCTGTAAATTAGAGATCATGACACATAAAGTGCCTAATAAGATTCCTGGCACATATATGCTAGTTATACTGCTTACTATAAAGTGTTAACTTACTGTTAGCTATAATTTATAACTTAATGTTTCTGAAGTTTTCTACCCAGATTTCCAATTCAGGTCTTGCTAGAATACACAGCAATGATCCTTTGTAGAAAAAAAACATTTTAACAACCGTATATTATTAACATTTTTCTATCACCACTAGAGGAATTTTTAATGATCTGGTCCATTTCACTGCAATTCCATTCTTAATGGGTGTATTTGTCACCACAAGAAAATCATGGGCTATTTTCTGCTTTTCCCCTCATACTAAACAGAGATTTAGTACCCTCCTACAAAATGAAACAAACTGCAGAAATTCTCTTAGTGGATTCTTTCTGAAAATTAGAATTTCTTAGGTCAGCATAAATGTAAGAAGGGAAAATATTAGCCGAAGTCTCTTTTTTAAGTAAAAAAAACAATTGCTTCAATAGTGAATTCCTTATTAACTTAAGAGATATATTTTACTTCTAGACCAACAGTTTCTGTGATCTTGTAATTGGATTTAAAAAAATGTTTAGCAGCCCACATAACCTTCATGGCAGTCTACCTTCTTCCCTAGAGCCTACATGAATAGAAAAATGAATCAGCAATATTTTCTACTTGACTTTTCTAAACCATCACCATGGTTCATTTTCTCTGCAATTGCAAAAGAACTGAATACTGATGGCTTAAATTATATAGCTGTAGATTATATTCTTGGAGGGTACCAAGGCACAAGCTTTACATGATTATATATTCTAATGCCCACAAATCAATCTCCCTCTTCATTAGTCCTCACTTACCGACTAGCACAGTGATGACCTTGTTGCTGGCATATTGTTCTATTTCCCGCAGCCACTCAGGAAGGCAACGGAAGGACTCCTCACAGGTTATGTCATAGGTGAGGATCAAGGCATTGGCGCTTCGGTAATAACTCTGGGTAATGGACCGGAATCTCTCTTGACCTGCTGTGTCCCAGATCTGAAGCTATAATGGCAAAAGAGAAGAATCAGGTTGGAGAAACAGAAAGAGCGAGCATTATTTTACTTTAGAAGTGGAAACACCTTCACCCAAATAATTTCATGGTTAAAAGGACTTAACAATTTAAAAAAAAATTTATTGTGTTTCTGGTTAGGAATAGGGACTGGCTTTATTTATTTATGTTTTTCCTTTGTTAGATTATTTTAAGTTTCCTCTTTACTCTTAAAAAAATTACTGAGCATTTATTATGTGCCAAGTTCTATTCTAAGTACTTTACACATAATACCTCATTTAATCCTCATAACTCTGTGAGGTAGGTACTATTGCTATATCCATTTCTCATATGAAGGACAGAGATGAATAAACTTGCTCAACATCTCACAGCCAATATATCCCAGAGCCAATTCAACCAGGCATTGTGGTCCCAGAGTCCATGCTCTTAACCATATGCTATATTATAAAAGTTACAGTACAGGGCAAGCTGCCATTCTGTGATTGTTGGCATTTCAATCAAAGTAACTGGAAAGGGGAAAAAGTCCAACTTTACCACCTTTTCCAGTTCAAAACTTAAATGAATATATTAAGGTATTATCTTTGTTAATGAAAACAGGAACAATGCCATGGAAGACCAAAAAAAAAAAAAAATCCTCAACCAGTTTTAAGCTTTGTGATCTTAAGTCACTTAGCCTCTTTGAGCTTCAGTGGTTTCTTTATAAAAGGAGGTTAATAACATGTACAACATGCTGAAAGTTAACATTTTCTGTAGTCATCTACCAGTTCTATGACCTAATAACTGATGGTTTTAACAAAGAAAAAGGCAAAACACTTCTCACTTCTCCCTGAATTGCCCCACAGAGCAGAAAGCTGCTGAAAGAGAACTGTTTTCTAGAGAGACTGCTGAGTGCAGAACAAATCAGAAGGCCTTAGGAAACAACAACAACAACAACAATAATAATCTTCCCTTATAACTGCATAAATTTCACATGTCACAAGATGCATTCACCCCCATTAACAGAACATCATTTCCTTACAGAAGGCCTTCTGGAATCTTCAGATTGGGCCAGGTTCCCTGTCACTACCACACCCCACTCCCAGATATTCTCTCCTGAAACTCACCCTGTAATTCTCCCTCATGAATTACAACGCCTGACCCACTTATTTATCTGTAATAATTTGTTTAATGGCTGTCTTCCTCAGTAAACTGAAAGCTTCATGAGGAGGAAGTCCAGGTCCATCTTACTCATGTTTTCCCTGCACTAAATAGAGTGTCTGGCAAATAGTAAGCTGTTCAAAGACTTATGGACATCCTCACCTAACCCTTACAACAATCCAGGAGGTTAGGCAAGTTTATGCCTCCCCTTTGTTAACAGAAAACTCCATTTCCTAACTGTGCTGTCTTTGCCCCCCAGAGACTGATTTCAACGTACATCAGTATCTAAAGAGGATGAGTCAGGTGGTGTCACACTCTGCTCATACCAGGATTAGCCCAGGAAAACGATGAGTAACCGACAGTCCCTGCCACCACTCAGCAGCACACAGGCTCTCCTTTGATTTAGAGCTGCAGCTGCCCTTTGATGATGTACATCAAAGTCTGTGTACACTGAAGGCGACCATACAGATACTCTGGTTTTTGCCAGGACAAAGGCTATTTCTTTGCTCTGCCCCAAACCTAGGGACATGATTCCCTTCTGCCAAGGCGTGTCTTAGAACAACAGATTACTGTCTTAATGCCACACTGAGTCTCTAAAAACAGTTGTGATTGGATTTAACTCTGGTAATCATTAGAAATCAGCATGTTCTCATGACTGGCACATCTTGAGGACAGCTTTGAGAATTAAAGCCACTAAAATATTTTCTAGAATAGTGACTGCATAGTTTTGTCAAGATGTATGTATGCTGCTTTCTCATAGGGGGCTGCCTGTTTCCAGCCTTACAGTTGATTCTTGAGGATATCTGTATTCTATTGCTTCTATTATTCAACTCAATTTCACCATTCTCTCTGTAATTCATTTACACCTTTTCAGCATTTACAGGTCACAAATAAATGCAGAGCACTGTGCTAAGCACAGGAAGGTTACAAAGATGAATAAAACACAATCACTTATCTCAAAGAGCACACCGTCTATAGGGAGGACAAACACAATGGTAACTAACCATAATAAAATATGAAATGTTCTATTAAAAAGGCACTAGGAGGAGAAAGTCTCCTAGTGTAAGTCTCATGCTGGTCGACATGCTCTCAATATCAGAGCCATGGGCTTTCTAACCACTCTCACCTCCAACATGGGGCTACATACTGTTTACTCTCTTCTTTGTACCACTACTTACACCTCTATTGCCTCACCATCACAATAATGTACTGTAATCATTGGTTTACTACTGTGTCTCCTTGCTAGACTGAGTTCTTTGAGGGCAAGGGCTATCTCTTATTTAAGTCTAACCTTCCAGTGTCTTCCTAACACAGTCTGTGGTACATGGTGAACACATCTGAATGATGGCTAACTGAAGGAACAAAGGCTTGTGGAATCACGAAGGATTGATTAAGTCCAGGTAATGGTTAGTAGGATAATAAAGGTTTCATGGCTAAAATATTTGAGTTAGATGATAGTAAGTTACTAGGGAGCAAAGATGCTTTATCTAACACAGTGCTTGGCACAAAGCATCCACCATAACAGAGGATAGATGAATAAACGGATGGACAAATGGTTGAATAAGCAAACATATTTGCATTCTTTCAAGACTTTCCTATCTATGCAAAATGAACCTGATCAGAGAGACTTCCAAAAAAATCTTCTATTTCTATAACAATTAATCTCCTAAAGTTAAAATGTTATAGACTAGCTTAGTTTTACTTATGAGTCATTTATTTAAGATAGACTTTTAAAATATCAATAGATAGGAGAAAATTCTATATATATTTTAATTATATTTTCTATCCAAGGTCACCTTCATAATGCAGAGCACTTTAAGTAAAGAGCCTCTTCCCCAACTTTGCTTTTACCGATTTAGCACTAAGCCTTAATAGCTACAAGAACCTTTCTAATACCTGTGATTCCCTGACTTCAATCCTGGGAGCCATCCTAGAAAGAATGAGACTTGTAGAGGAAGCTGGGGGTCAGGGGTGAGGAGAAGTCAGGAGAGAGACCTGGGCTCTGGTCCTGTTCTGCCACTTGCCAGGCAGGTGATCTCTTTTCCATTGTCTTCATGGGGCTCTGAGAACGCCTGAAAACCTCTAGCATAAAGACACTTAAATATCACCAGGAAGAGGTATTTTGTAATTGTTCAAGAACAAAGACAATAATAAGACAACAACTGTTTCTTGCGTGAAGCCTGGGCAACTCTGCCCTCTTATACTGACAGAATAAGGAAGTTGATTCTCAGGTGTCCAAGTGTTAACAAGGCCATTGGATTAATGTGGTCAAATAGGGTCATTTTATATCTTGATTCTGCATACATGGCTAGAAAGATGCACAGGCAAATTGGTTAGGACTCCGTTGAGGAGATTAGCCAACTCTTGAGCCTTATGAATAAAGGAGGTGCAGAGGCAATGGGGACAGAAACTAGATGTGAATACCAAGATGAGTCAGACACAAACCTTGCTCTTGGGGAGCCTGTGGTCTCAAGACAGTCAGATGTTATAAAAAGATGGATTTTTAGCTGAGTGTAATAAGCGCTTAAAAATGAAGTTACGGTTTACAGAAAGTGGAATAAATGTAATGCCTAAACCTGGGGACTCAGGAAAGAAGAATAAGGTGTTCGTTAACAGTGAGGACCAATTCTTACTCACTCGTACTCATTCCCAGTGCCTGGCACCTGGCAGGCACTAACATTCTGGTCAAAAGAATTAATTCACACATATATATGTACATAAATGGGAAACCCAAACACCTGCAAGTAAAATGCCTGAAGCAGTAGTTATCTTCACCTAACTTTTAGGGATAGCAACCCAATCCACTCTGCTGGAACAACAGAGAGCTGCAAGTGGCTCTTCCAGCCAATGCCTGTTGCATGCACACTCCTGTCTCCTTCCTATCCCCACACCCTTGCTCCTAATCTCCACCCCAATCTGAGCTTTCCGGTTGGCATTTACACAGATGTCACTCCATAATTTTGTTTTCCAGAGCCCTCAGCTCTCCATCACTACTGTATTTAGTGTAAACATCTGGAGTAAGGAACTACTCTGAGGAGTCAGAGCTAGAAGAAACACTGGGAGAGCCTCTACCTCCAACTCAGGAGCCTCGTCCTATATTTCTATGTGTCGATGAAATGCTACAAGAGCATCCTGGAGCTTCTCTGCCCTTCCCAAAGCATTTGAAGGCTGGAGTGCAGATACATATGGGAGAAGGATACAAATGACATGTACTCAAACTTGGAATGCTTAGGTTGGGATCCAGCTGGGACTCTGACGCCACAGTTTGCACTGCGCACTTGATGTCAGGGTTATGGCTTCTTTCCATGGGCCTCAGCTCTGAAAGATCAGACAATGGAATTCCACTAACTCTGACGGGCAGGTCTTTGCACCCTTCTTCCACGTAATTTAGTCTAACTTCACATTTCTTTCCATCATCTGATTTATTCCCTTGCTCCAAGGTGACAAGCTTCTTATGCCTTCATTCCCATCTTCTTTAATGGCAGGGGAGACCCCAAGGAGGCAGCGGGGTGCTTTAGCTCACAAAACTGGTTCACATCCTGCCTACTTCCCTTCCTAACTATGAAGCCACAGATAAGTCTCTCAACCTCTCTGAAATCCATAAAATAAAGATAATTTACCATTTACCACACAGGGTTTACAGTAAGGATTAAATTAAATAGGACAATATACGTAAAATCATCTAGCAGAGAGACTGACACGTAGTATGTACTTGATAAACACTATCTCCCTCTCCCGGTATTGGACATAGCATAGTTCTTACAGATACCAAAACATCCAGAGGCCACAAAGGGGAAGGGAGAGAACATGGAGCCCTTCTGAACCCCTCATTTAGTATCTCCCCCTTGCTAGAAATAAGGGTATGATGGGAGACAGAATAACTCTAGTAAATGATTGATATGACTGAATGACCCATAACAAATGTAGGAATCAGTAGAATCTTCCATGGGGCTGCTATTCAGAAAAGGTAGCACTGCTTATTGGCTCAACTTGGGAGATCTCCCTCCAAATTTTCTTCTTTGTTTTCACATCACCTCTGACATGACAGAAGACAGGACAACCTTGCCTTAGCCCTTCTTTCTCTGTCTTCCCATCTATAAACACACCATCCAGAACCCTTCCTGCCCCCATAAAGGGAACAGAAGAACTTCAGAAATAAGCTGCAATGGCAGAGTATATTATTTTCAATGTGGAAGATATAATAAATGTTATGAAAACACTACTTCTTTTCACATAGGACAAGAAAAACCTTACTGAACACTGAGCATCTTACCTTTACTTTTTCACCGTTAATCTCCACTGTCTTAATCATAAAATCAACTCCAATTGTGGCTCCTTGGCCAGGCGGAAAAAGACCCTAGAGAATAAATAATGGAAAATAACAATTAAGCAAATCTTTCAAATGAAATTTCCCCTTCCCTCTCCCCTTCCTCCCATAACTACCATTGCCAGCCCTTCCTCTGGCTGAGTTAACTAGCAGTAAAGAGAACTCTGGTTAGTGTCATGGGAGCCCTGTTTAATTTAATTTTGTATGTATGTATGTTTTGAGGGAAGGAGAAGTGAAGGAGAAAGGAGAAGAGAGAAATTCTGAAAGAAAAAGAAAGGGAAAGGGGGGCAAAGAAAAGGAGAGGAAGACAGAGGGTGAAGGGAGAGAACTGGGAAAGGGCAAGGGGATCTGATTTCAAAGAATGAAACAAAAATCAGACTCAAGGATAAGATCAAGGGACGGGGAACCACAGGGGTGAGATCAGGATTGTTATAGTGAAGGCAAAATGTATAAGTGCTCTAAGAGAGGTAAAATCAAGGAAGATTAAAACTGGTTATCAGTCTATGACATGGGCAGCCATAGGAGTGGACAACCAATATGAAAAAAAATGAGAAATCAGTGTGAGAAAGATGAATGGTACAGTGAAGCTTTTGGATTTTCTCCTGCCCTTAGGGTGATAACTATTTCCCTCAGTGCAATGTACCATACATATATGATTACATGAGACCAAGGCCAATGATATTGGGAAGATAATCAAAAACAATGTCATTCAGTGAGAAAGTATAGTAGAAATAGCACTAATCCAGGAGGCAGCAGCCTTAGGATATCTGTGTGACCTCAAGCAAACCAGTTCCCTTCTCTGGGTCTCAAATTCAATGAGTTTGAGGCTGATGTAAGCATTTCAAAAACAAAAACAAGCTTAACATTAAACTGGAAGCTGAAATAGAAAGATTTTAGCAAAATTACTTGTATAATGTAATGTACTGTACATAATACTTCCCGCAAGCTTAGGGAGGGAGTTGGAGGTAGGAAGGAATTCTAACAGAAAAGAATACTTTACCTAGTTTCCCTTCCCTCTTCATTTATAGTCCAGAATTTCCAGAAATTAAAGTAAAATAGACTTTATTAGCTCTGGCAGCTAAGATTGGGGCACTTTTAATTAAGTCCATTCCCTAACAAGAGAATTCTTCAATTAAAGTTTAAACTTAAAAGACTAGGCTTCAAAACAACAGGAAATGTTCCATTGCATGTCTGCAAAAGATATAAATATAAACATTCATAACTTTACTTACAAATATTGAATCAATTTTCTTCTATTTTGGTTTGGCTCAAACACAAGGCTGCTAAGCTTCAAGTTTATAGCTCCAGCTGTTTTGCAGTCTAACAAATGCCAAAAAATAAAAACAAATCCTTCCCAATGACTTCTCTATCATTTTGTTCCCCAATTCCTCACGCTTCAAAAACAGCTGAATCCAATTCATTTTAACTGTCTACTAAATAACAAAACAAACATGATCCTGCCTATGAAATATGAATTTTGGGAGTAGTTGGGGGACTGGGAAGGGTACAAAGTAGACAGAAATGAAAAATAAGAGGTGGTGTGTTTATTGGTAAAAATTAGTGTTCAAAAATGGAAGCATTTTTACCTCAAATGATAAGGTTTATACTTTTAAAGAGAAAAGCAAGACTCCAATGGTCTCAGAGCTTAGAATATGTGAAAGATAACAATGATCAGGCTGAGAACCAGGAGACCTGGGTTCTAATCCTAGCCTTGCTACTAACAGGCCATGAGATGCAAAGACTTCATTTCATCCCTCTAGACCTGAGTTCTTCATCTGTAAAATGAGAGAATCTTTCAGTAATAAAACAAGGTCAAGAGAGTTTTTATGAAAAAGGAGTATAAACTTCTCTACATGTCTGCAGTTTTGTCCTCCTGCCAAAAGCAGAAAAAATTACTAATGTTAGATGGAAGTAAAACCAGCTGACGTTTCCAATGCAATGCGCCATGTTGGTGGACTAAGCTCAGATGCATTAGCTTGTTACTTTTGATTTCGCCAGACTAAGGCTTAGTAAAAAGCACTGAGTTCTTTTCTGTGTTCATTATCATAGGGAAAACTCTGGCATTTCCAGAGATGACTCTCTGCCCTAAAGCTGTTTGTGTGTTATTGGATCTGGCTCTCCAGTTTCTGACAGAACAGAATCGCAGAATGTCAGAGCTGCAAGGAGTCTTGGAAATCACCAGGCTACTTGTGTGCAGCAGGACGGCAGGAGGCCCAGAAAGGGTGAGTAACTTACCCAGGCTCACAGGATGAGCCAGGGGCAGAGCTGGGACCTGTGTCTTGACTCTCAAGCCAATATTCTCTTCATGACACCAGGATGCCCTGTGCCTTAGAAGAGCTAGTCTCAACTTTCCCAACTAGCACTTTATGAAAATGTAAGATGCACGCATGATAATCCTTAAACGGACACCATTCATATTTTTCTGGGAAAACACAAAAGAAGGTCAACCTCAGAATGATTTCCTACTCATTCTCGTATAAAAATAGGTATGTAATCTCTGGCAGTAATTCTCAAAAGGGCAGCCCCAAAGGAAACTTGTACTAAGACCATGTGATAAGGGCTCACCTCAAAGAGAACACTTAATTTAGTTCAAATAGTCCTTCACTGGTCTCATTTCATCTCCATTTAATCTAGAAAAATCAGCATATTTGATTCTGAACCAAAATGATTCACCCAGTTTTCTGGGAGGTATCAGAGGGCATAGGCAGGGAGTTTGGTTTATTTGTATTTAAGTTTTTTAAAAATTAATATTTAGGTTTAATTTGATATCCAGATTCATTTGTTTCCACCTTCGGATTATAATTAACTAATGATCTATTTTTTAATGTAATAAACCATTTTTGATACTGCACACTGAATGAAAACTACTTGCCCCTTTCATTAAGGGAAGCACCAAGAGGCGTAGCAGGTGGGTGGTGACCCACGGATCCAGGCCTCCTTGAGATGGTTTAAAAAACTCTAGTGCAGGCTACAAAGCCGGTGCACCTTCAAAGGGTACATTAAGAATTAGCAGCCAAGAGGCTGGCGCTAGGCCAGTCACTCATCCTATTAGGTTCCCTTAACCCTGCAGGCCAGACCGAAAAGGCCAACCCTGGACTTTCAAGTTCTCTTACCTGAGTGAATCGTCGGACTAGGCACGTCTTCCCCACACCAGCATTGCCAATTAAAACAATTTTAAACAGGAAATCATAATCTTCCATACTCATTTACACAGCTGCAAGGCAAACAAATACAGGCAAGAGTGAGAAGGGGCCTGGTCAGACTTGCTCACAGAGCTCAAGCTGCACCAGCCTTGTCTGCTCAGAAACAACAGGTCTGACTCATTTGAAGAGCAATTTAATGCTCCCCTCTGGTGACTCTGCCAGCAAGAGGAACACAGGTGTCTGGTCACTGATGGACTTTATTCCTTCCCAGTTATCTCACGCCACAAAGAGTAAATGACACAGATGTTCTTTCACCTGGTAACCTTTATTCTTCCAAGTAGTCATGTCGCAGGTCGCTCATGTGATAAGATTTGTTTTCTTTTAGCATAGAAAGGAGATTACAAATCTACGTGTGGACAAGCTGAGAGTGCAAGGAAGCAGGGCAAAGGAGAGCCCATCCAAAGCTTAAAGGTGGTTCACGTATAGGCCGCATATGCCCCTCGGAAGAAGATCTAGGGGCTGGGAGCCTGAATGGAGGTAAAGATACTTAGGAAGGAACCTTTCAGTTTCTTGTAAGTCTTGGGGTCTTACCAGTGGGAGATATTGCAATCTTTTTCTTCTGCCACCACCTCATGCTGGGGCTATACACATGCTACCAGCCATGCTATGGGCTTTGGTATATGGCATTTCCCTTGTCTGGGACAGCCTCCCTCCCACCTTTTCTGCCTCATGAAGTCAATCCTTTAAGGCCCAGTGCAACCATCTCTTCCTGAGGTTTTCGCTGATCTTCCCCAAATAAAGTTAAAGACTTTCATCATTCCTCTGTCTTAAAACTTCACTTGCTATATACAATTATCTGCTCAAATGTCTGCCTCATCCTTGATGGAAGGGATCACATCTTTCAGCTTTATTTTCCTACCCCATGGAACAGAGTTACACCTAAATGTCTACTTTAGAATTAAAGAATTCATGGTCATATTGCTTAAGTGAAGGCCTTAGTTTCTCCAATTGTGCTAAAAAGAATACTACATGTTCTATCTACTTCAGAGGACTGTTGTAAAGATTACGAAAAAAAAATCTATACAAAAGAGCCCTGTTATTCATAAAGCCCTATCCTAGTGAAAACAATTGTAAGCTACTGAGTATATATGATAGTACTATGCTAATTACCATAGGAAATACAGAGATGAGACAATCTCTGCCCTCAAGACCAACATGAGAAAAGTTACAACAACAACAAAGTTAAATTCAGTTCAAATCTGCAGCAGAGCTCATTCTATAAGGTACAGGCAAAACAAGCCTGGTAGACTCTGGAGGAAAAGGAACACTTGCCCCTGCAGCAAGCCCATTAGGGGGAGGATGCTTGAAAAAACTAGAGAAGCCTCGGGGTCACTCCTATCAGCTGAAGCACAAATGACTGCAGGGTTGCAAGGCAAAAGGAGAGTCCACTGCACTGAGACCCGTCAAGTCCTTAGAGGAGCTGATTTCCTGGATGCAAAGGTGATTTCTATGTGGATTTCAACTGATACTTGGAAAGATGACTGAAAACTAAGCCACATGCAGGTAGCAGTTCGTGGAGTTCTGTCTCAGTTTTGGGACCATGAAGGAAAAACATTTCTCTGTCAAGAACCTGGGTCCAAAAGCAGTTGCTGAACTTGTTATATACCAGACACTGTACTAGGTCCTTTATGAATATTCCCATTTGTTTTCACACATCTGTGAGGCTGGTATTTAGTAATATGGTACCTATTTTTCAGGTGAGTCAACAGAAGTTAAAGGAAATTAAGAATGTATCCAGAAGTCAGAAAGCCAACAGCCAGCCCTCAACTTCAGAAGAATACGGTGTCATCAAAAGAACTCTAACTTTGGAACCAGAGAAACCTAGGTTCAAATCCTGACTATACTGCCTTCTAAATCTGTGCCTTCTGGCAAGTAGCAATTTTTTTTAGATCCTTAACTTCCCCAGCAACAAATGAAGCTAATAAAACCTGTATCACAGAGTTGTGATGCCTGAAGGAATTAATGAAACCCCCAAGAACAGTATCTGGCTTTCAGAGCTCCCAACTCTTCAATATGACTCAAATGTTCCATGGTCTGGTTTCTGCCTTCATTATTGCCAGTGTCATCTCTGACCACTCTCCTCACACGCCATGCTCTAAGCTCACTGTATTTCTTCAGTTTCTTAAACATCACTGCATTTTCTCTTAAGACCTTCACATATACTGTTCCTTCTGCCCAAAACACAGAACACAACCTCCCCTCACCATCCACAGCCTAGCCAACTTTCATTCCTCCTTTAGATATCAGCTTAAACATCACTCTCTCTAGTGCACTTCTCTGACCTATGAGGGAGGCTGGGCTCCCCTGCTATATGCTCCCACAATACCCTTCCCCTCTCCCTACTCACCATGCTTCACTGTACTTATACATATCTTTCCACACTCCAACACCATCCTTCAGCACCTCCGCCCTACATACATACACATACAGACACGCACACGCACATGCACACATACATGCACAACCATGAGTGGCATGAGAGTAATGAAGTGTCTGGCTGAGCCATGATCCCAACCCATCTCATTACTGTCATTGTCATCATCATCATCATCTTACTCTATATTATTAATTCATTTCATCCTCAAAACAATCAGGTGGACACTATTAGAATCTTAAATTGACTGAAGCATAAGAGAAGTTATATAAAAAGTTGTTAAGGTCTCACTTAATGGTGAGTCCCACTTAACCTGTGGAGCTGGGATTCAAATCCAGATGGCCTAGGTCCAGGATCCATTTGTCCTTGAACCACTACCTTGTAGTTCCTTTCACAATACCTGGCTTATGGTAGAAGCTTAAGAAAGATCAGATGAATCAAATCATGAAGGGTGAGCACTTAAGAAATGTGATTTCCCTTCTCTCCTCCTCTACCTTCAAATCCAAAACTCTACTGCACTATAGTAGTTTAAATAAGAATCAAAGTCAAACTCTGAGAAAAAAAACTCAGGGACATGGTATGTTAATTAAAACTCGATAAAGTTGTTAACAGTGAAAAGAAAATAAATCTCAAAGACAGGCACAAGGATAGTAGAAAGTCATGAGGTTCTGTGGACCACCATGGACCATAACTCACTGCTTTCCTAAGTCAATGACAGAGAAGACAGAATGGGGCCACATTCTTTTTCTGAGCTTCGATTGTTTGCCACACTTTACTTTCCATCTTTGGCAGAAGTCAAGAAACGAGCAGAGAATCCAAAGGAGAACACCCCAAACTACAGCCTAAGAAACAGGGCTCCTAAGAGGTTAACAGTACCTAAATTATGCATCTTCAGGAAAAGAAGGAGAAGAGTTACTTGGTCAGAGTCAGCACTCATAGTCAAGTCTCATGTGCTTACCACCTGGAGCAAGGCACAGATAAAAGTCAAGGCCCTTCTCCTTTCTATAAGAAATTACTTTAATACTCTGTTGAGATTTTTGTTGTTGTTGTTTGTTTTTTAAATAAATCTCTAGAGAAAACATGTTTGGTCTCTTTAAAACTGTGGGCTATCTGGAGCTAAGGCTGGACTGTAAACTCTGGGTTACCTGGGGCAGTTACTGTTTTATTTCTAATAGAAAACACACTGCTGAATGATAAGCTCAGAATATTCTCTGGAAACTGCACTCTGAGGAAGCCCTTCTGTTTGGTAAGTAAGGTAAGAGCTCAGGCATCGCCGATCACCATGTGATGAGACAGCTTCCTGGGAAGGGAAATCCATTTGGAGGCAGTTAGTTACACTCAGCCCTAAATGGACAACAAAGTCACACTTCGTGTGGGGAGCAAACAGTCCCAAGATATGCTACCGGCCAACCACTATTGTAAAATTTTTTTATGCCATTATTGTTAATAATAATAATAGCTAATACTTCTTCAATGTTTATTATGTACCAGGTTCTCTTCTACATGTATTCACTCATTTAATCCTTACAAACAACCCTATGAGGTAGATAATATTATTATCAAGCTTACAGAAGATGAGACTGAGGCACAGAGAGGTTATGCTGAAGTCACACAGCTAGTTAGTCTTATGACAGGAAATCAAACCCAGATCAATCAAACTCCAAAGCCCGGCTCCTTCTGAAATAGGATGCTGCTGCCCTCTGCCTTGTGATTGACAGTGTTGCTATAGTTGTCATGAGGGCCGGAGGCTCAGCTGACTGGAACCCTAGAACGCTGTGAGCTGTAGCATTCTAGAATCCTCCTATTCTGGAAGCAGCACACCCACATCAATAGAGCCACATAGATTCCAGATCATATAAGCACTCACTTTGCCCTCTGAGTCCGTCTCATTTAGGAGATGGACTCAGAGTTTTCCCTGCATACTCATAATTGAGTCATCATTCATCCATGTAACTAAGTACTAGGCACAGGAACACTATTCAGATAAACAAGCAAAATCTCAAATACCATAATCACCATGATAGCTCTAAATAAATGGATATACGCATAAGATTCAGAAAGGAAAAACAGGCGAGGAAAAGAAAAAAAATAAGTAAAAAAAAAAATGATACAGGAAACAAGATGTACTAGGAAAAGGTTAAAAAGAAAAAATGTTCTAAGCAATTTGATTCTGGCAACATACACCATTTATCAAAGTGACCTTTAAAATAATGTATTCACTGTTGTACATAAGAACATTTTCCCCCCTGCCCTTTCGGCTCCGTGTAAGAGATAAAATCAAGGCTTCCGGTGAACAGAAGGCCAGGTGCCTGCCCCATCTTCTGACCCAGGCCTCTGCCGAAGAAAATGATATTTTGAGAACTTGTCCTTGTTCAAAACCCATGTATCTCACTCATGTCCTTTTCTCATTCAGGGTCTGTAATTGAGGGGGTTGGGTGCCTAGGTGCCACAGCCCCTTCCCAGGACAGAAGCAGCATGATAATGAAATTAAGTGATCTGGGTCTGGGATCTACAGAGAAACTACAGAGCTGTGTAGTGTCCTCATCTATAAAATGAGGATAATAGTTGAACCTATAATATTAGAATCTATATCACTGAGTTGCTTGAGAGGCAAATAAGATAATATATGGAGTAGTG